TCTCGAGATAAACGTTTTTAAAATATTCTATAAATGTCAACAAAACAAATTCACACCTTCATAAAATGCACAGTACAAGCTGGAAATGGTTATCCCCCTAGCTTGTTAACTGGAAACGGGTATTCACATTGTTTGTTAAAAACAAGCATATGCTCACAGAATTAATAAACTACTAGTAACTTGTCTATTTCTAGTGTACATATGACTGGTATATATAGTCTTTGTGTTGTAGGTTATTGCGGTTGTAGTGCTCTTCCAGTACCTGTCAACTTTCACTTGTATCGGTTGAAATCTGATAGAGTTATGAAGATATATTTGCTAGTCAACAATGGTCGCTTAGTAAGCACTTTGAGCGGTATATCACTAAACGAATTAAAGTTAAAAATATGTTTATATTATAAAAGGATAAATGGCTGTGACAAATACATGGCAAAACTACAGCTTCCTATAACATGACGCTCACATTCACATCGCCCATTTATTACTCTCTCATAATATCACTATTTCTACAGCGTTAAATTGGGCAACGAACAGAATGTGCAAACCATAATAATTTGATTTGATTTTAATTAAAACATTACATTAAGAAATGACCTGACCTGAAGAGTGATCATATAATCAAAATTACTGAGACACGCCTACGAACATATAAACATAATATACGAAATTTGAACTCACAACTCTTTTTGCCTTTTTGCTGAAAACAGATGTAATCCCCGGCACATTACAACTACTTCTCAAAAATAACAGCTTGAAATAGTGTGGAGTCAATGTTGACTTACAACTACTAGGCAGACATGCGTAATTCGCATATCTGAAGTCACAAAGACACCCGCAAATTGGCCAATGACTGAAGGACACCCACAAATTGGTCACTGACAGAATGACACCCGCAAATTGGTCAATGACTGAATGACACCCGCAAATTGGTCAATGACTGAATGACACCCGCAAATTGGTCAATGACTTATAGTAACCCGCACATTGGTTAATGAATGAATGAATGACACCCACAAATTGGTCAATGACTGAAGGACACCCTACAAATTGGTCAATGACTGAAGGACACCCGCAAATTGGTCAATCAGTGAAGGACACCCACAAGTTGGTCAATGGCTGAAGGGCACCCGCAAATTGGTCAATGACTGAATGACACCCGCAAATTGGTCAATGACTGAAGGACACCCGCAAATTGGTCAATGACTGAAGGACACCCGCAAATTGGCCAATGACTGAATGACACCCGCAAATTGGTCAATGACTAAAGGACACCCGCAGATTGGTCAATGACTGAATGACACCCGCAAATTCGTCAATGACTGAATGACACCCACAAATTGGTCAATGACTGAAGGACACCCACAAGTTGGTCAATGACTGAAGGGCATCCGCAAATTGGTCAATGACTGAAGGACAACCGCAAATTGGTCAGTGACTGAAGGACACCCGCATATTGGTCAATGACTGAATGACACCCGCAAATTGGTCAATGATTAAAGGATACCCGCAAATTCGTCAATGACTGTAGGACACCCACAGATTGGTCAATGGCCGAATGACACCCGCAAATTGGGCAATGACTGAAGG